CTTTTTAACTGAACTTTAACTTTTCAACTAGTTAATGCCCACCTTTGAATTTTATAATCACTTATATTCACTTGTGCAATTTACAATGTTGATTGTTATACTACACTGTTATTACACACGCAGAAACGCAGAATGTATGATTTATAATGAAATCTAGGTACTAATTTGTGAAAATAGTTATATATATTTTCTTTCTGTAATGTTTGAGTGTTCCCAGAATAATGAAATCGGTGTTCAAATATAAACAAAATAAATATGATCCCAATAATAATATTTAAAAAAATAAGTAGGAACCTTTAATTAATAAGTATTAAACATATTTAAGGTATGTGGTTAATTATAAGCTAAAAATGCGAAGTCGAGATTTTTTGGTGGGAGGGTGAGGGGCGTCAAATATTGTTGCCCTAGGGCGTTATTGGTGGTTAGAGCGGCACTGACGACTATACGAGTATACGAATACGACCGTTGCCATAGTACGTTTTGGATTGTTGAGTTTCCACATAAATGCAGCTAGATGGCGCCAGTCGGTGGTTCCACAGCTGATTTGGAGACTCAGTTTGACGGTCTTGAAAAATGCATAATATCATAGGCCGATGTTCAACCTGTATATCTTAAATCCTTAGATCATATACTATGGATGGAGCCACTGCGTATTATAGCAATACAAAAAGTTGAAGCCGATATTAGCGACGAGTCACCGAATTAGGTGATCGATATGCGCATGCGCGAAACAACTCGTTTAATATTAATATTATAATCACCAGCTGATAAATATGCGAGAGGTTGCGTTGCGCATGCGCATATCGAACACCTAATTCTGTGACTCGGCTGGGATGGGGACAGTTATAATATTAATATTAAACGAGTTGTTTCGCGCATGCGCATATCGATCACCTAATTCGGTGACTCGTCGCTAATATCGGCTTCAAAATAATATGCAGTGGCTCCATCCATAGTATATGATCTAAGCTTAAATCGTGCTTTTGTCGGAGAACGGCCCTCGTCCGTGGACGAGTAATACTACAGTGGTGCCGACAAGAAAATAATAACACTTTTTAGGAATCTGTGATTGCATTCAATGATTAATGATAATAGGACGTATTAATGTATTATGCGGTTTATCAATAAGATAAGGACTTATTCCAATTTACATAATAAAACGATTTTTTGAATTTCAATTTTCATGTGAAAATTTTCCGAAATGAAATGTCAAATAATAAATTTTAGTAACGGACAAGATTTTTTAATCGTTTAAAAATTATGTCAATAAAAACTGAAGTAGAGAACGAGGTGGATATCGACGATAATAACAAATCACAAGTTCATAATTTCCAAATCAGACCTACACACAATCAAAAGTAAGTCATTCAATAATTTATGATAATAATATAATTTATTAAATTATAAACGTATGCTAATCTATACAGTTTATATGTACACATAATTATATATATAAACAAAAAAATTGTTTAAAAATATTAAATCATACATTTTCAGTAATATATTAAAATATTATGGTACCTATAGACAAATTTATAAATATTTATCTAACATTTTTATGACATTACGATATTACCTTTTACATTATGTGTGCCGTTGATAGGTCATTGATTTGTACCGCTTATAATTGTATTTAAAAAATAGTAGATTTACACAATTTTAGGAGTACAAAATAATTTTTTTTTGTATTAGGTAGTATTTTTACTTTTTTTTAATTCTCTATGCCAATATTTAAATAGTTCAATTTACATTCAAAAAGAATTGTTTTTATTATTATTGGAATATTTTATTTTTATCTCTACTGCAGACGGGCAGTTCTTTGATAATATCTAGATTATAATTTATAATTTATAATTAAGAAGTATTGTAGTGTAATTTGAGTCATGGTATTCTCATACCATTAATAGTAAATTGTAAATGGTAATATATACAAGACTTGGTAACAGTGGCGCAACTAGACCTTATGGTGCCCTAGTAACAAAAATTACTTGGTGCCCTACAATATATTATTTTCTTTATATATTTATATTTTATAGTATAGATAAAAAATGTATATATACATATAAATTATACAAATTATAACATGGGTAGGTAGGTTCTTTAATTCATAAAAAAAAAATTAATACATGTACATGTTAACAAAAGGTGGGTAAGTGGATGTCGCTCTGCTGTACTGTAGGTTACAAGTGGGTCACTGTATAATGGATGGTATTAAATTTGAATGCAATGATATAATATCATTGTATAAGAAAAACGATTCTGAGCGGAGACATACCGTATGTCAGTCTAGGTATAAGACATATTATATACTTTTCTATAGTATTAAATTATATGGAATTTATGAATAAATTCCTTAAAATATGCACAGTCTTATCATGAACATAATTCTTATTCCTTATACCAGGGGTCTTCAAACTACGGCCCGCGGGCCGGATACGGCCCTCAAACAAGTTTTAACAGGCCCGTGGCCCGCATAGGACGCATAGGTATATATAGATAAAAAAATTATTTAAAAAATGTATTTATATTATATTATATTTATACCTATTTATTTTTATTTAAGTATATTGTAAAGTAAACAATATTCTATACAAAAATATAAAGTAAACATATTATTTATATAGGTACCTACCTATATTATCATAAAGTTAAAAATTATATGTGTTAATAAACTTTTGGCCCGCTAAGAGCATTTGATTTTTTTTGTGGCCCTTGAATAAAAAAGTTTGGAGACCCCTGCCTTATACTATGGTGGATTGTATGGATAGGCCATAATATTTTGATTTTTCAGTTTCATATATCCCCGAATAATATTTTTAAATTACAACAAAAACAAAGATCGATAATATTGATTTTAATATGTAATTTCGTCCAAATTTGAATTTAAAATGTCTGTAAAAAATAACTGTGTTCATATATTTTTTAGATTTTTTGGTTACAGTATGAACTATTTATGAGAACCTTTGTTTTAAATTTGCAATATTTAGCTATAAAAACTGAACACTTTATAATTTATTAATTACAATGATTGATAATTTTCGAGATTTTGATAAATTTTATCAAAATTCGATGTTTAAATGCTTATAAAAAAAATTGTGCCTATGTATTTTTAATATTTTTCAATTGCTACTGTAACAATATATCAGGAACCTTGTATTAAATTTTTACACTTTTTGGCCCAACAGATAAAACTTTATTGATATTTATAGAAAAAAAAAAACTAAAAAAATTGAAAACTGAAAATGTCCGTATACAGCTCAAAAAGAGTCGAAATATTTTCAAAATTGTACAGTGTATAGGAAATGGCTAATCTGAACATTCAGTGAAATTTTCATGTATCTATAGTTATTTGTTTTTGAATTACAACAAAATAAGAAAATCGCTACATGAGAAATCAAGTGAATATCCAATGTTGTAAAAATTTGAATTTCAAACGATCATAAAAATTTAATTTGAGTTTCCGGTAGAGATTTTTTTATTGATAAAGGTAGACAATCTTATGAGTAATCTTGTATTACATTTTCAAATCTTAGATTTAAAAAGAAAAATTTTTACGAATTCTTAACTCAAAATAATTTGCTAATTTTCGTGATTTTTCCATATTTTGTCAATTTTTGAACTTTAAATGCTTATAAAAAAAAAACTGTGACTAACGATTTTTAATATTTTTCATCTGCCTTTGAAACAATATACTAGGAGCCTTCTATTAAATTTTCAAGTTTTTTAACCAACAAATACAATTTTATTGATAATTCTAGAATAAAAACTAAATAAAAATGAAAAATGAAAATGTCCCTAAACAGTTCAAAATAAATCAAAATATTTTGAAAATGTTATCGTGTATAGAAAATGCAAAATTTAATGTATCTACGGTCATTTGTTTTAAAGTTACACCAAAAACCAAATTCAATTTTCTGAAAAATCGATTTTGTGTAAAAATTGAATCTAGGACATTTGACACCCGAGACATTTGACACCCAATAATAGGACAATTGACACCCGATGATAGGACAATTGACACCGAATATAAAATTTATAAATACTAAATAATCAGCGTATAATCGTATAAAATAATAATATAATTCAAAAGTTTATTCTAATAAAATAAAAAAGACAAACGATTTTGTAAACATTAATTAATATAAATGTAAATAATAGGTAATAAAAATTATAGGAAAACTAATAATTTCAGTATTTGTTTTGAATTGAGAAGTTTTACATATGTGTTTAAGCCTTTCTTCATTTGATTTAATTTTACAATTTATTTGAATACCTGTATTTAGTTTTAAAATCTCCATTGTGGTTATGGAATTCATCATTTGTAAAGCTTCAATAAATATATATATATGTGGATGTTTAAATCTAATTAAATGTTGGAACTTATTGTTCCAACCTTCCGATATGTTATTAGTCCTACTATATCCTAATTTTGTTGCATTGTGGACATTCCACATATATGGAGCAAACATAGATGGTCTCCTTTTGAAGCACATAACTTGAGTAGGTATTGTTAATTAATTTGTACGGCCCATTAACATATGTTACATCGAAGTATGTTAAAATATCATCCACATCATTATCATATGAAAAAATGTCATATAATAAGCTCATACCTATAAAAAAAGATATTTAAATTAAAAAAAAATATATGTATATGTTAGGTACGTGTATGGTACCTTTTTTAATAATATTAAGTGGTAAGAAGGCCAATGCATTGATCATTCGTACTGAACAACGGAATTCTTTGTCTTTTGTATATTTTGTTGCCAAACCAAGATTTTGGACTTTACGCCACACACTTTGACTAAGATGGTAGTAGCACAAATGTATGGAAACGCTGTCTTCAAAAACTTCTTCAATCGCTTTTATCATAGCTAGTTCAAAATCAATAGAAAATGACTTCACTGATGAACACGTGTCTTTGAGAGCCATCAAAAGTTCTACATAAATTGTCTGTGTTTTTTTGGTAATAACGCATAAACGACAGGTAAAGGTTTCATTTAATTCATTTTATAAATTACGTGTAGTACATAAAGTTGATAAAAACCTTTAGGGCAAGACGAAAATGTTCCGTCCATGAACACATGATCACTTTGTGATAATATTTCTAGGCAGTCTGGAGAAGCAAATATTATACGACTATTAATTGATTGATTATCATAAAATAAAAACTTTTGCTGATTAGGTTCTGCTGTCATCGTCCACTTACCCTCTAATACGAATTCTTTGGAAGAAATTGTAGGATATGAATTGTTACGGATTCTTCTTAAATTTCTTTTTACATTATTTTCATTTGGCATCAAACAAGCAGCTACGTCTGTTAATTTGTTAACTTCTTTTGCGTACACTTTAGAAGGAATATCAAAATTGTTTATAATATTTTCTTTCATCGCATTTAAGGCATGACATACTTCAGCTTCAGCAGAATCAGGATTATGAGAATGTTCTTGAAATTTTAAAATTTTGGTTTTGGACGAATTTATCGTTACACTACCTTTACAATATTGTTTCTTTCGTTGAACACAAGTATATCTAAGCCCATCGCTTACATTTTTTTGAAACACATAAATATAATCATTAATTATTACTTTTGTTTTAATTATTTTTATTATATCGGAACATTCTGAGTCCATATTGAATGAATATTATGTTACTTTTAAATAAAATTGAGTGCAGACTATACCACTACAAACACTAACTTGTAACTAACAACTATTGCCTAATGCCTATAGAGTATAGGTACTTTATCTACTCATGATTATCGATATCGTAATCGTAATCGCTCGGTGTCAATTGTCCGTGTTCTAAAAATATCGGGTGAAAAAAGTCCGATATCCGCAAAACCGTCAGGTGTCAAAAGTCCCGGGTGTCAATTGTCCGAATACCGTAAAAATTCCCGGTTTTCCTTAATTTTTCTTTTGTTTTTCTTGGCGCTTTTGAAAAGTACTGGGAATTTTAAAATTTGACCTCCCCAATGCACCAACGATATTCACTTTCCAATTGAACAAGATACTGAAGTCGAAAATCGAAGCATTATTTCGACTACTTATCGTGTAAACAGACACAAAAAAAAAAAAAAAAAAAAACACACATCATTGTATAATCAATACATTCATCGTTCCACTCAGAAGTCAGAATCTAAAACTTAACTTTTCTAACTTTTAAGTTTGCAAAATGTTCTATTATTTCGTTTATATTTAACTGTTTAGTCTTATTTTTTTCAATTTTCAGAATGGCAATGTTTGATAGTCTATCTTGATTCATTGAATTTCTTAAGTAATTTTTAATAAGTTTCAGTTTAGAAAACGATCTTTCCGCTGATGCAACTGTTACAGGTAATGTAAGATAAATATTTTTGTTCTAATTTTAGATGTTATACTAATTTTCCGTCTATTAGCGTCTTCGTAGTTCGTAACAGTGTCGTACTAACTACAATTACTACGTCATCAAACAACTCTTATCAATCTCAATTAGTCCTCAACCGTTACCCACTGCTAAACCGATTTATATTTTATACGACTATAATACCATTAACCATTTATAACTAATTGAATGTTCTACGGAAAGAAAAATCTATTTTCGTAATTTTTACAAGAAATACCTTCATTCATCTTTATTACCACAAGGCACAATAATATCTGTATTCAAATCTTGATAATTTATGTTATAATAAAATAAATACCAAAAACACAGGCATCAGAAGGTGCCCCCTAAAATGTCAGGTGCCCTGGTGTAAGTACCACCCAACACCCCCGCTTGTTGCGCCACTGCTTGGTAACAATAATATACCATAGACACCCTGTCTAGATATACTTTATATTATAATTGTATTCATAAATAATTATAATTTGATATTTTTTTTTTTTAGATTCAATACACATATTGCAAAAGAAGCTATTCAAGAGACTCTTCTTAAATACCTGAAGGATAAAGAGTATAGTCAAATTGAAGCTGAACCACTTAGCACAACCATCGCTAAAGAAATCAAGGACAGACTTAAAGGTTTTATTTATTATCCTGTACAAATTTTATATGTTCATATGTAATATTAAAATATAATTTGAAAATATTTTAACCGTAAAATGGCACTTTATTTTAGTTTTAAAATAATAACTTCTATATTTTATTAAACAAATTTTGAAAATTTTAATTGTTTTTGTATTTCTGTATGTTTTAAGAAATAAAATTAACAATTATTTGTAGTTTTTGTGGTACAATGTTTTAATTTATAGATCATTGTTTGGAAAATCGTTACAAGTCAATGGTACAAGTTGTTTTGGGTGAACGACACGGTGCTGGTACAAGAGTTGGAGCGCGTTGTATTTGGGATGCTGATACCGACACACAAGCCTCTGATAAGTTTTTAAATGTAAATTCATAAAAATATTCTTTTATAAGTATAAAATAATGTTCTCAATGCTTATATAGTTATACTGCATATATAAATATTAATAATATGAGTTTCAGTTTTTATATTTTATGTATTTTAAAATTAAAATTGTATATTTTAACATGAATATTAAAATTAATCTCCACTGTATTTATATAACTTATAAAATATTAACTCAATGACTATTATTAATAATTTCAAATATGAAAAAAGTTTTATTAGTTCTTCCTATCCAGTAGGTTAGCTGTATAGATAGCTAATTTGAGGAGTATTGTTTGAATTTAGTAATTAATTTTTTGAATAAATGTTGATATTAAATTTTTTTATTTAGATAATTTAAAAATAAATAAATATTAGATATTAACATCAATCATATAATAACTAGACTTTCTATTTTTAAATATTATTAACTAATAATTATATATTTGGAAAATATAATAATTAGATTAGGTACTTTAATAGTATTAAATAGAAAATATTTTTTGTTTTAGGAAACTATATTTTGTGTGGCTGTAGTTTTTGCGGTGTATTTTTATTAATAAATTAGATGCATAATATATTCTAATTCCTTAATTTTGGTAAGTTACTACTATATCATTTATTATTTTGCATAAAAAAGTATTATTTAATTGGTTTTTATTGATTCAAATGATTTTGATTAATATAATATTAATATTACAGTGAACCAATGTTACTTAAATATAGGAACTATAAAAAGTAGCATTAAATCAAATAAATATAATATTTTGGTTATAATGTCTACTGAAGAGGTTGATGATGTCTGGGATGATTTTATAAATTTACCTGCAGATCCTCCTGAAATGCGTCAAATATGTTTTTCATGCGAGTGAGTTATATAGTTAAATACTAAGCATAAACTAGTACACCGTATCCAATGTTATTTGTTCACTTATTAATGATATTAGTTTAATAATTATTTCATTAAAAATTAGATATACAGGGTGATTCATTAAGCGTAAAATACTCATTATCTCAAATAGTAATAATGTTTTTGAAAATATTTTTTTACATAGTTTCAAGTTGTTAAAAAAACAACGATTTTACTAAAAAAATATATTTTTAAATATTTTTATCCTTATAATTTTTTAAGTTTTTAACTTTTTAACAGCATAGAGTTTTAATTTCGTATTCCAAAGCAGAATATGTTTCCAAGTATTTCGATTCATAAGAATTTAGGGCGAGTAGCTTATGAGTTATAAGTATTTAAAGTATTGATGGGCGGCGTGAGTGGTATGGGGTTACCCCGCAGAATGATTGTCCACTACTCTGCTTGTTTAAACTTTAAGTACTTATAAGTTATAACTCATAAACTACTCATCCTAAATTCAATTTTTATGTATCAAAATACTTAGAAAAATATTCTGCTTTGGAATATGAAATTAAAACTTAATGTAGTCATTTAAAAAAAATATAAGGATAAAAAATAATTAAAAATATGATTTTTTAATAAAAACGTTTTTTTAACAACTTTTCTAACAAAAATATTTTCAAAAACATTAATTATTTTTGAGATAATGAGTGTTTTACGCTTAAGGAATCACTCTGTATATAGCTTTAAATATAATCCCTTTATAACCAGGGATTAAAACCGGTAACCGGTTCGTAACGAAAACTGGTAAAAACCCGTAAATTTTAAAACCGATAACCGCTTTTAGTTTTGGAATGCTGGAAGCCATTATTGGTTATTGGTAATCAAGGTAAATATCTAAATATTAACAACAAAGCGGTTACCTCGTATTTTCAATTACGATTTTATAACCAAAACCTATACCCAACCAAAATAATTAACGGTTTTTTTGTGGTATTTATTACTTGAATTATGTCATAATAATATTATTATAGTTGAATTTAATTTTCCAGCAATTTTTAAATTTTTTCCCCAATTAAATAACGTTGAACATTACTTATCTGTTGTGAATATCATATATGTACAATGTGTTCACGCTAAGAGGTGCCACTAAATATTTCAGTTCGATAACCTTGTATTGAAATGGGGTTTTTGCTGAATGACAAGTACTTAAATGACAGTTATTAAATACACATTTTCAGATAAATTTCAAATTTTTAACTCTTTCGATACGCTCATGCGCGATACAACTTACTTTTTTTTAAATGGCAACATCAACTTTTTTTACATTTTGGATAGAGAATTTTTTCCTAAACAATTTATTTATATAAAGTTTTTTTTTAATTACAAAATTGGCATGTGAAATTTAACGATTAAATTTAATATTTACGAGAAATAAATGTATAATGAACAGGAATTATACTATCTTAATTACTGGCAAATGTTGTCAAAGTTGTATTTTATCTGTGTGCAAACAGGTATTTAACAATATTGGATATTAATAAGTAACAATAAGTTGAATTTAGTTTAGATTTTGTCAAAAAAATTACTCGTAAATATTAAATTTAATTGTTAAATTACATATGCCAATTTTGTAATTAGAAAAAAACTTTTATACATAAATTGTTAAGGAAAAAATTCTCTATCTGAGTATGTAAAAAAAAGTTGATGTTGCTATTTAGAAAAAAGTAAGCTGTATCGCACATGCGCGTATCGAAAGAGCTAAAAATTTGAAATTTATCAGAAAATGTGTATTTAAGTACTATCTATGGGTTCTTAATTTGATTACATTGGTTTAAATTTTCTCAACCGTTTGTCCAATTTTTTAAAAATTTTTTTTTTGTTTTTGTTTTGTTATTTTAGGTTTCAGTTTGTTAACTTTTTTAATCACTGACTGTTTTCTTTGTAATATGTCTTTAGTTGTAATTGTTAAGCTGTAATAATTTTATATTGGTAGCTTAAATAAAAAAAAAAAAGTACTAACTGTCATTCAGCAAAAACCCCATTTCAATACAAGGTCATCAAACTGAAATATTTAGTGGAACCTCTTAGTGTGAACACACTGTATACGTATTATAAATACCGTAATAAACATTGTCGTAGTGCACTGATTCCTATTACAAAATAATTGTTGGAATAAGGGCTTAGTCTATTTTACTTTTTAATATTAAGTACTATTTACAATATTTTAATCAAGAATATAGTCTGAGATTTATGTTGTTATTATATCGTGTCACACTGTCACAATTTATACTTTGGTTAATGATATTATTTTATTGTTTTAACTTTTTGGTTAATATTTAAAGTGTTTAAATTTAATTTTTTTTTTTTTTTTATAAATGCAATCTACGATCTATACCACATGGCACAATAAGTAGATGTGAATGAGATTAGTCATATATAAATAATTAAAAAAAAATACATCATATCCTTAATAAAATTTTTACATAACACGTGTAAAATTTTTGAGGAAAGCAGCCACCCATTTGTAACACTTCAATTTGCCTTACATTTTTTTTAATTTTTAATTTATTTAATATAATTCAATTTTGCATTTTCAGGCGACCTCAAAATGTATGTTGGTGTAATTATTTACCTAAAACAAGGCTAAAGCCCAAATGTCGAATTATTCTACTGCAACACCCAGCAGAAGAAAAAAGAAGTCTTCGTACTGCTCCTATGTTGACATTGGGATTGGCAGAAGAAAGTTGTGTTGTTTATAAAGGAAAAAAATTCCCTACAAAAAAGTAATTATTTATTATCATATTTTTATTTTTTAAATTTAAAATTTTTTTATTGATCTTTTTACATCGGCTTCTATGGCAATTAGTTTGACTTTAACTTAAAATTAGTTTACAAAGGTATGTTTAACTTATGTTATTGTATGGCTTAAATTAAGTTATATAGCTGAATTTCTTTTGTAAATTGTAGGATGTTGATGATTGAGTGTCAGGATATTATAATATTATTATTTACTTTGGTAATTTAATTTTACTTGTTAGTTTCATATACACATTAGTTTTAGATTTGTTACTTTTGAAAAGTAGATGAATAACTACTAAAATCTTTAACAAAATCACAATAATTTATCTTTAAAATCATGTCTATTTTTCAGTTAGTTACAGAGTACATGTTTACAATAGAAATTACAGATTTTATATTTTAAACGTAAGAATATGTGTTCTGTGTTTAATTTATAATACAACTTTTATTATTTAATTTCAATACCATCATGCTATGAATTATTTTAAATCTACACAATTATTTTTTTATATGAGTGTGTTGGGGTTAAGCTATTCTTTTATAAACTATTATTTTAATAAAAACTACCCCTTTTGGTCTAATGGTCTTTTATTGCCTAAAAATTCACTTAAATATTTCATCTTAACATTATCTACATTTTACAATATAACTCATTGCTTTATTTTTAGATTATAAGTTAGTATTACTATAGGTACTAATATTTATTTACATTTTATTTTATTTTACTTATTTTTTTTTTTTTTTGTTTCAATTCATTATTAATTAATTTATATCTGAAGTTGTATCTATTTTTCAGACATGTTGGCCTATGGGATATATTATCATCTAAACAGTCAGTTTTATTGTATCCTTCTAAAAAAGCAATGGATATAGTTGATCTACCAAAAGAAACAGAACTTCATAATTTGATTATACTTGATGGTACTTGGCCACAAGCAAAAGCTATTTACAATAATACACCACTGCTTCAATCAATGATACATGTTAGTGTCTATTTAATTTAGTTTATTTCTATGTAAATAATCAAAATCAATATAGACTAGAGATATTATTATTGTTATCAGAAACGTTTTAACATTTTTAGTGGACCACTTGAACCCCTCAAATGTTTTGATGTATTTCTAGGTTATGTAGAAAATTGATTTTCAATTTTTTCGTTTTGTTTAATTAGTACCAGTAATTTTTTTTTCGAAATTCACTTTAATAATTTTACTTTATTATTCATAAAAAAAAATTTTAAATCCATTTCCTACATAACCTAGAAAAGAGAAAAAGGAATTCATACATTTTTTCAAAAGTAAAATTGAACTTCTGGAAGTATATTTTTCTAAATGTACAAAAAAAACGACCCACTTTCAACAACCATAACTGTATCTAATGTGTTATGTCATAGAATACTGAATAACTAATGTTTTTTTAAACATTTAAATTATAAGTTATAACAGACTTATTACATATATTATGCTGAACTAGGACTAAAGATAACTTACTGAATCCTCATACTTTAAAAAACTTATGTTGTATTTAATAAAAATATTAAAATACTAGTATTAACTATAAAACTGAAGTATCGGTATTCATATATCAATACATGCACCCCTATGTTGATTCAAGAAATTCCAGGTGTTACGAGGCTAGTTTAGTTTAAGGTATTGATTATTAGGTGCATAGGAATAAGCCAGGTATTAACCTATATTTTAATACCATTTATTTACAGTAATATCCATTTTTACATTTATTATTCAATTATATTTTGTCAACACATATAATATAATAAATATAACAATATATAATATATTATGTACTCATACATTTCACTTTAACAATTGTCTAATATCTTATTTAATAATTTAGGTAAAATTGATGCACAAATATGAAAGTCATTATATTATCAGGACCCAACCAACGGATGGATGTCTTTCTACATTAGAAACTGCGATTGAAGCATTAACAGTATTAGAAAAAGATGAATCATACAAAAATATATTGCTGAAACCCTTAAATGCTCTATGTAATTTTCAACTACAGCATGGTGCTGTAACACATCAAAGCAAAGAATTTAAAAAACGAAATCGAACTTATCCTAAACTAATTGGAAGACGACTTCGACAATATCTAGATGATGGTGATGATTATTAATGCAATTACTTTACGATAAATAATAATTATTAGGGTAATATTTAAATTGTATAAACTTTTATTACCTAATTATCATCTATGTGATGAGGAAAATTATAAGTAGGTACTTTATTCAAATAGTTTTATAATTTTTTTTTGTAAATTAATCTATCTTACGTATACTGAAAAATACATTTTTAAATCTCAAATTTTAAACATGATAAATAATACCCATATACAAACATTTTGGTATAGTAATAAGTTGTACGTTAATTATATCTGGTTAATTATAATTCCTAGATAATTGTTATTAATTGTTCATTAATCATTAAAAATAACTAAAGTATACTATGTAAGCACATTTATTTTGGTAAAATGTATTATTTAAGGAATATTGATCATCAAATGACAATATAGGATGCAAATATTAATTTTTAATTTTATTAATTACACAGTACCTACTACCTATAGTTAAATAACATAGATAATTAATTAGTGGCAGCTATCCTATGGTCCATCTGAAGGTTTGATAACGCCGCCAACACATGTAAAATGTCGGTTACGACACGAGTTCAACTGTCACACCTACGCTCTTGCCAAATTGTATGACAACACCGGTAGTTTTCGTATCTACATGTGCCACAATGTTGTATAGAAAAATATTAGTGTGGCTTCAGTACATTTTGCTTTGCTGGCCTGACCTACTTTGATTAATTAGTATATTAAAAGTAGGTAAGTGGATGTCACTCTGCTGTACAGTTGGTTATAATTGGGTCACTGTAATATATGGTGTTAAATTTGAATTCAATGATATAATATCATTGTATAAGAAAAACGATTCTGAGCGAAAACTGATCAGTCAGCCTATGATATGACTAAGTATATTTGATGATATTATTGTGAATAAAGTAGTTTATAAACAACCTATTTACGTTTAACCTTGTTTTAAATTTTCAATCCTTACCTGTAAAAGTTGAACATTTTATACATTTTTAACTGCAAAATAATTATTAAATTTTGTCAAAATTCAAATTTAAATGCTCATAAAAAAAAAATTGTACCCATGTACCTATTTTTAATATTTTTTAACTGCTATCGTAACAATATATCAGGAGCTTTGCACTACATTTACACTCTTTTTTACCCAACAAATAAAATTTTATTGATATTTAAAGAAAAAAAAGTTAAAAAATTGAAAACTGACAATGGCCGTAAACAGCCCAAAAAGAGTCAAAATATTTTAAAAATTTTATGGAGTATAGAAAATGAAAATATAAACATTCAGTAAAATTTGCATGTATTTACAGTTATTCGTTTTTGAAAAACAATAATAACAAAACCGCTACATGCCTAAAGGCTGAATGAGAAATCGAGTGAATATCCAATATTGTAAAAATATGAATTTCTAACGCTCATAAAAATTTAATTTGATATGCTTGTAGACATTTTTTTTTTTTGATAAAGGTAGACAACTCACAACTTATGAGGAATCTTGTATTATATTTTCAAATCTTAAAAAGAAAAATTCTTATGAATTCTCAACTCAAAATAATTTGCTAATTTGTCCGTATTTTGTCAAGATTTGAACTTTAAATGCTTATAAATAAAAACTGTAACTAAGGATTTTTAATATTTTACAAATTTCATTGTAAAAATATAGTAGGAGCCTTGTATTAAACTTTCAAGCTTTTTTACCTAACAAATAAAGTTTTATTGACATTTATAGAAAACCGTGGTACCTGCGGCGGCACACATGTATTTAGGATTTTGGCGCTTTCGTACTATACGATTTTGGTGCTTATGTCTTCCACCGCAAAATTAATTGTGTACCTTTTTGGCTTTTTATCATACTTTTGGAAAACGAATTAGATTTGGATTTTACTTGGATATATATTTATGTGGGTTATAAAGTATGTATAACATTATTAATACTATAATGAGTTTTCCCCGAAAACGACGGCCGACAACAAAATCGAATTGCTGTTATTATCGTCACAATATTACTATTGGCGTTATTGTCTTGCGTAGTTACGTGATATACGTCAGTCGTATTTATAATTTTATATCTATTTGTAATTGCCGAAAAAACAATTAAGTGGTCCAATGAAGAGAAAATTAAAGAATAAACGCGATGAAGAAACAAATGCACTGCAAAGTAGTTTAGATAAATTTACGTTTAGAACTAGTTTTATCTACTATAGCGCACAATCGAAATGTTTGTGAAAGTTGATTAGCTGAAATCAAACTTGAGACTTGAGTACTTGACTTAAAACATTACAAATACCTAAAAGCATTTAGTCTGATATAGAAGTATAATAATCAAAAATACTAATTTAAAAAAAAAAAGTGCTTTTTAATTTATATAGGTACTTAAGGTGATCGGTGGCGGACAGTTATTTTAGCCAAAACATCCAATTTTTATTCCATCATGCTGATCGATGTAGTAATGCGGAACCATAATATTTGTATATATATTTTTTTAATACACTCTCTAAATTAATACATTCATCGTGTATTTTTATAATATATAATCCTCTATACCGACCTAAAATAAATAGAAAATTCTTGTTTTTATAATAAATATATTTTTTAATTATTAAAAATTAAATTGTGAAGGTTTTTGCCGTAAAGCTAAAAAGACGTGTGTACAATGGACGTCGAACAATAATAATATAGAATGTAGAATACAGCGTAATGCGTATGCGGGTATTTACGTAATTATTATTACCGTGTATGGTGTATTACTAAACAGTATTGTTATGCCGATTGTTATGGTTATTTGTCAATTAGCAGAATATAAGATGTAGAGCGGGTAGTACCTGGTGTAGGGCAGAGACCCCTACACATACTAATAATCATTACTACGCACACAGTTACAAATGACTTACGCACGCACTTTAAATATTGCCTATACCCTACTCCTTAAATATACACCATCACCGATCCCCTTAATACTTACTTGAATGAATATTCAACATTAATTAGACGCAGTGAAAGTGTAAAGTGTTCTTGTATATATTAATTATTAAATAATCAAATTTTTAACAAAACAATTTTATTCTATGATCCAACTACTTATATAATATTATAATAGCAACTATAACTACATATAGCATTTATTTAAAAATACATTTTACTTTAGTACTGGGCACATAAACTAGTAAATCAGGCCCGGCCTAGATACTTTAAATTTATACCAAATGTTTATTTTATTATCTTCTATACGTGAAAATTTTTTTTGACACGTTTCGAGTTGTTTAAAGACATTCAAAATTTGAAATTTTTGAGTGGAGCGATGAATATAGGTATCTATATTGATTTTACAATGATGTGTGTTTTTTTTGTGTCCGTCATCAGCCTTTGGAGAAAATGTTTCGATTTTCTTCAACAGCATCTTTTCTGGTAGGAAAGTGAATCTAGTTTTATTGGTACTTTGGAGGGTTGAAAGTAAAAAATTCTTAATAGTTTGCAAAAGCGTCTGAAAACCAAATAATAATTTAAGGAAAAACTGAGATTTTTACTCAAAACGAGTTTTCGAAAATATACATTTTGTTTTTTATATTGTAACTCTAAAAACCCCGTAGGCCGTAGATGTTCATTAATAAAAACTTAACTATGTATAAAATTGTATAAACAGAGCCTAAAACAATACATTATAATAAACTAATTTTAAATAATAGTATTCCTATAGTAATTAAATAAAACAAATGAGTAAATAACAACATTTTGAGTTGAACAGATTTTAATAATATAATAATATACTGGGCTTATGAAATCTAAATATCATTTATAAAACAAATGAAATGAAATGGGATTGAAAATGTGTAGGATCACTTATGAGAAAGATTAGGTAGGCATAATAGTGACATCTACCGGTCAAGTTCTCAGATAACCACCTGTTGTCGTTAAATTTTGAAACAACTATGGTCCGTTCTACCACGTGACGGTACCGTTCGAATGATTAATATATATAGGACAAATTGGTCGTATAACGTCGTGGAGGTATGAAGAATGACACACACCCCTCTGCGCCGCGGCTTAGCGTCGGTCCCGGACGGGTCTGACTGGTGATCCTGAGAGACGATCATCCCAAAGCGTATAGAGCTGTGGTGTGGTTAACATTGAACTTACCTCCCGGATATTTTTTTCCTTCATGCAAGAGACTCGCATGTTAAAGTTTTAAATTTAAATTTTACCTAGTCATCATAATGAAAAACACTTTAAACATAATATTATATATATTATTATGTATATTAAAATAATAGTTGTATTATGTATTTTTTAGATTTTAAAATATCTTCAATAGAACGCATACTCATTAGTCATTATTATCATTATTATAGATGCCCAAAGGGTGCTGCGTGCGTGGATGGTCGTCATGCACGGTATAGTATATCTATGTTGAAAAGTCTGACACTCGGACATACCAATATTGGCTATAGTGTGTAGGCATGTAACTACCAGAACTGCTATATACCTATATCTACGGACTAAGATTTGCAAGGTCTACACTGTAGGTAGGTACTTTTGAGTTTAATAAAACCTTTATTATATATATTCTACATTTCTATCCTTAAACAGCACATAAAATTATACTCAATAGTCATAATTAGGGCACGGATGTTGTAGTACTAAAAAAATAGTAAAATTGATTGCAGTATTGCACTAAAAAATATCAAAAATTGCACTTAAAATATTAAAAATTGCACTAAAAAATAACAACGTTTTGTTATAAATGTTTTAAGTTTACTGTTATAAATTATAATCTAAAATTCTAAATAATTCAAAAAAAATATATACATTACATTATAATCATGCCATTATGAATTTATTATATTATACATCATTGCACTGTACTAACTGTTCGTTTTAAATTTTCGAAATAAAACCATCTTCGATTTGGAGCTAGTAAGTTCTTATATCTCGAAAAACTTAATTGTACGTAGGTTGATGTAAGCGGAGCGTATTTAAAATAAGATAAATCGCTTACTGTTAAGTCTTCGTTTAAACCATCGAACGAT